ATATTTTAAAATTAAAAAATCTTTTATAAAATTTTTACAAAATAATTTTACACTCTAAAAATTCTTCGATATTTTACTAAACACCTTCAATTTAAAAAAAAATTACAGCCATTCCTGACGGCCTCGAAAATGCGATGAAGGGAGAGCGAGGGGCAGCAGCCAGCAGCAACATCTTAGACCCATGTAGATGGGGCGAGGTCTGGTACTTTGTTACCCGACCAGAGCCATAGCTAGGGTTTCGCTTTTACTTCCCAAATGCAAAATTTCCTTCGTGTCCCTTAATCGACTTCATCATCTCTGTCATGCACCTCGATGTGTTCCTTCAACTCGCACGTTCTGCAAGTGTGCTGCTTTGCAAGAGCAGACAATAGACATCACCGAGTACAAGGATGCTTTCTCCCGACGGATGGCAATGGCCGGACTCAGACCCCACAACCGTATTGGTTAGCGCCTTCTGCCCCTTTTTCCCTTTCTTGGATAGAAGGAAAGTAAAATGGTTAAATTTTCTTTACTGGGTTTTCTTTCAACCCAGCAGACGATTCCCAATTTGCTACTGAATTAGGAGATAATGTCGAAAATAAATCAAGTAAATAGCTAACAAAATTCCCACTTGACTGCCACAATTACTGAGAGATTGTTGTTTTGTTTTGCCCTGCATTTGGATAGCTTTAGGAGTATCTGGGGGTCCGGATAGCATGGCACTGTGTGTTCTAGCAGCTAATTGGAAAACTGAGGGCCTCAATGCAGTTAGAAAGAAAGATGAATACATTGATGGTCTTTTGGCAATAATTGTTGATCATGGGCTGCGGGCAGAGAGCAGAGATGAGGCAATTCTAGTTAGAAATCGAGTTTCTGAAATGGGTATGTTATATTTGAATGTTTATGGCCGGATGTCAATTTTATGACTTTCATGGGATTGTTAGATTACTAACATAGAGCTTCTGTAGGGGTCAGATGTGAGATTGCGTGTTGTGAGTGGCCAGATGGTAAGCCAAAACAGGGTCATTTGCAAGAGGCAGCCCGTGATATGAGGTTGTTCATTTCTTGTTCTTAAATTTAGTGAAATGCTTGCATTTCTGCTGCCGTTGTT